CGTGATAAGGTACTATTTGCAAATGCATGGATTATTATTATTATTATTATCTGCATCCCAATTCCACTAGTCCTTGTTCAAGACAAATCTCAGATAAACATAGTTTTGAAAAGTGAATCAAACATATCTTCCGATAAAATATCCCAACACAGGTTACGCTCAGTCAGCGAGCTGCTCTCATAGCTAGTGATCTTCTGGTTGCTTCTTCATAATGGGATTTGCAAGACCATGATACATATAATTTTCTTCCCCACAGAGAGGATGTGGTTGGTTTAACGTAGTACAGGAAAGCTTTAACAGTGATGGGAAGATTTGTTTCGCAAAATCGCTTCACCGGAATGCCTATAATTCTGGATTTCCCCTCTTCAAAGGTTTTTACCACAGGTGCACAAATACCGACATCCGTACCCATTCTTGCATCTTGACTTCGCTGTAACTCTCCTGTAAGTTTTAGCTTGTACAATAGCCCGACCGCAACTGTTGATTTATCATTTGATCTAGTGGGTCTATCAACATCAATTAAATTACATACTAATGTACTGTCACTGAACTTGATACCAATTACCTGTGAAGTGCTTTGAGATATGTCTGCATTATAAGCAAGTTAGCAAATGCAATTTTTAAAAATCTATATTATTAACTAATTAATTAATCACAAAAGAAAACAGTGCTTGATCAGCAAACAAGGAGAAATATAGATCAACAATTTAGTTGTAACAATTGGCCAGAATTGCTGGCTGATCGACCTGCTGTGTATTCCTAGTACTTTCTGGTTTCATCTCGGATTTCTAATCTTTCTGGATTTTCTCTTTTCTGATTCCCTCCACTTGATCCATATCCACACATACACAGAATCAGCAGGTACTGACAGGTGATACTCAGGAGCAGCAACATTGGCTGTCCTCAGCATGTAGAAACTCATTGTAGCACCCTGACTGAGATCAACCATTTCAGTACAGTCCAGTGCTGAATTGTCTCAAAGTTTTTCCTGACCTGTGGTGCATCAGTTAGCTGCCAGTTTAGTTCAATTATTAGTTCAACTCTTGCTCTCTGGATCAGAAGTTTGTAATTTCAAGCCCATGTTGAGATTTAAACTCATAGTCTAGGTTAAGACTGAGAAACGCTATATTGTCAAAGGCACCATCTTTTGGATGAGGCTTAAATAAATAAATGTGGAGTCCTGTAGCTCAGTGGTTAGAGAACCCGCTTTGCAAGCGAGAGACCTGAGTTCAATTCCAGGCAGGGCGAAACCTTGGGCAAGTTTCCTTACTCCACACGCCTAATAATTCCTCCAAAACACCAAAAACAATAATAAAATTGGTCATTTTCAATCTACGACTGTTTGTGGGACATTGCTGTGCGCAATTGGCTGCCGCGTTCGCCCACAAATATACAGTCAATTCACGTTACAGCGTGTTCTGTGAAGCGCTTTGGGATGGCCTCCCGACATGAAAAGCGCTATATTAAATGCAAGGATTATTATTATTATTATATCCGATCTATCTCTTCAGATAGGCCTTAAAGATCCCTTGATCCTATTTGAAAAGAAAAGGAGGATGGCTATATGAAATTATTCATTCACCTTAAGAGTGCACTGTGGGAATTTTCTGTGCACTAAATGGCCAACATGTTTGTCTACAAAAATAATCAATATACAAGTCAGTAATTGTTCTAAAGCACCCTGAGATAGTGTGATGAGATAAAATGCTAAAAAAATGCAATTATATATGAGTTATATCCCTGACAATGGCACAGGTGTGGATGGAGAGCAAAGTGGCAATCTGAATTTTTGGGCCGAAAGAAAAGAAGCATCTATTCTTATTTGAGCCTCAAACATTAAGATGTTGTTAGCAATGGGATATCTAGCCATGAAGAGTATCTTCACGGCCTTCCCAACTCTTCCCTTCACAAGCTGCAGATCATCCAAAACTCTGCAGCTCGTGAACTCTCACGCACCAGGCTCCGTGACCCCATCACTCCCACCCTCACCCGACTCCACTGACATCGAGTTCAAGATCCTCGTCCTCCATCCATGGCCTTGCCCCCTCCTACCTCTCTGACCTGCTGACACCCTACCAAACTTCTCCCCCTTCCGTTCAGTGGGTTCCGGCTGCTCCATGTCTCCAGCCTGACCCGCCCTACCATCAGTGGCCGGGCTTTCAGCTTCTCTGTCCCCACACTCTGGAACTCCATCCCACGGTCCCTTCGCCTCGCTTCCTCCCTTGCATCCTTCAAGGCCGGTCTCAAGACCCTTCTCTTCGACTGTGCCTTTGGTCTCCCTCCCACCTCTCTGCCTTCCCTCACCCCTACACCACCCCTCCCCCATGCTCGGGCCCCAACATCTGACTGTTCAGCGCTTTGGGACGTCCTCCCGACATGAAAGGCGCTCTATAAATGTCATTTTGTTGTTGCTCTTGTTGTATCTATCACCTCCAGAGGGAATGCGAAAATACTCTCTTGTGTTAAAAATACATTACAAAGATTTGATAATTATTGAAGGTGTTAGTGACTATGTTATTACATTTTGTCATTCAGCTGGTTAGACTGCAGCCGGACCCCAACACACACTCTGGGGTCCCCAAATCTTAGCTCTTGCCAACCTGCACCCAATACGTTCCGGAATTAGGTAAGCAGGATGCATACCTCCAGGGAGAGAGTACGCATTCCATTCCAACTATTTATCTCTGGAATTTCCATGTGTAGGTGGGATGCACAGAATTCTCAGTTTGGTTTGTATACTCTTAAGCATGGTGATGGGTTTCTGTATTTGTCAGAAACCCAGCTGACCACCCCAAACAAAATTGTCATCATTCTTAAAAATTGGGTCTGTGAATTAACAGATTCCCCTCCCCTGCCGTGAATTCAGCACAGTGGTTGAGCCATCTGGCTCCTGGTGATGCAGATCAGCATCTCAGACCTGCTGAAAACAGGACATTGGATTACCTCAATTTGTATCCCGTGAAGCAGAGCTCAAATACTGCCTCCAGGGTCAAATAAAAAGTTTGAGTCAAACAGCAGAGTACAATTGAAACCATCCTCAGACCAAACCAAATGGAAATTAGGGGGTAGGAAGGCTTAAGCTTACAGTCCAGTCTGTAATGGAAAAATGTGTGCCTGTTGTGGAGTGTACAGTCTAAGGGGACAAACACACAATGTGCTCATGTAGTGTAGTGTGCAATCTCAGGGGACCACAAACACCCAAACAATGTGAGCCTGTAGTGTAGTGTGTGATCTCAGTGGTCACACACACACACACAATGTGAGCCAAGAGAACGTCGTTGACGTTGACATTGTGATGTCAGTGGATGGGGCTATGGCTGATCAACAATAACAAAATTACATTTATGGAGCGCCTTTCACGTCGGGAGGATGTCTCAAGGCGCTGGACATTCAAGGGCCAGGACCCGAGCATGGGCTAGGGGTAGGGTAGGGGTGAGGGAAGGCAGAGAGGTGAGAGGGTGACCAAAAGCACGATCGAAGAGGAGGGTCTTGCGACCGGCCATTGAAGGAGGCAAGGGAGGAAGCGAGGCGAACGGACTGTGGGTTGGAGTTCCAGAGTATAGTGGCAGAGAGGCTGAAAGCTCGGCCACCAATGGTAGGGCGGGTTGGGCGGGAGACATGGAGCAGGCTGGAGCCCGCTGAACGGAGGGAGCGGCCAGGTTGGTAGGGAGTCAGCAGGTCAGAGAGGTAGGAGGAGGCATGGCCACGGATGGCCTTGAAAGTGAGGACGATGATCTTGAATTCGATCCTCTGGGGGATGAGGAACAGTGGAGTCGGGTGAGGGTGAGAGTGATGGGGTCACGGAGATACACAATGTGAGCCTGTAGTGCAGTGTGTAATCTCAGTGGACACACACACAATGTGAGCCTGTAGAGTAGCGTGTAATCTCAGTGGACATACATACACTGTAAACCAGTAGTGTAGTGTGTAATCTCAGTGGACACACACAATGTGAGCCTGTAGTATGTAATCTCAGTGGACACACACACATACAATGTGAGCCTGTAGTGTAGTGTGCAATCCCAGTGGGGACACGCACAATCACAATGTGAGCCTGTAGTGTGTAATCCCAGTGGACACACACACACACACACACATACACTGTGAGCCTGTAGTGCAGTGTGTAATCCCAGTGGACACACACTGTGAGCCTGTAGTGCAGTGTGTAATCCCAGTGGACACACACTGTGAGCCTGTAGTGCAGTGTGTAATCCCAGTGGACACACACTGTGAGCCTGTAGTGCAGAGTGTACTCCCAGTGGACACACACTGTTAGCCTGTAATGCAGTGTAATCCCAGTGGAGACACACACACACTGTGAGCCTGTAGTGCAGTGTGTAATCTCAGTGAACACACACACACTGTGAGCCAAGAGAGCGTCGTAGTTGACGTCGTGACGTCAGTGGGCGGGTCCGCGGCCGTTTACGATGACGAGTTTCCGGCGGGAGGATGGCTTGGCCGCGGGGGGGAGGGGGAGGGGGAGGAGAAGAGGAGACATAGAGTCTGAGAGAAAAATCGGTTATACGCTCGTTGCTCTTCGCCGAGAGCGCGGCAGCGAGCGGAGCCCGGTCAGGGGGGGAGAGAGAGAGAGGGAGAGAGGGAGGGAGAGAGAGCGGCCCGCCAGCCCGCCAGCCCGCCCGCCAGCCCCGGGACTGAGAGAGAGAGGGGAGAGGAAGGTGTGAGGGGAGCCGTTGCAGTTCAGTCACTCAATCCTCCCACCGACACCGACAACCGGGCAATGGAGAAGCGGCAGCGCAGCTGAGTCCGACACACACACACACACACACACACAGAGAGAGAAAGGGGGAACTGACTGACTGACTGACCGGCCGGCGGCTGGGGCCTGAGGAGCGTGGACAGTGACCGCGGTCATTTATTTCCCTCAAACTTGACACGAGGCCGGAGTGAGTGAGTGTGAGTGAGTGAGTGAGGGGGAGAGAGAGAGAGAGAGTGAGCGCCGAGTGGCCGTCAGCCTGACCCCCCCCCCCCCTCCCCTCCGCCCCCACGAAACAACCCTCCCCTGACAGCCCGTCTCCAGCCCCGTGTAACCGGAGCAGCCCGAGCCATGGCAGCGGGGCTGAGCCGTCTGCTCTGTCTCCTCTGGACACTGACCGCCCTCGGGCCGGCGGCGGCGGCGGCCACGGCTGCCTCTGCTCCGTCCAAAGTTTACACCAACACCTGGGCGTTGCACGTCAGCGGCGGACAGCAGGAGGCCGACCGGATCGCGGCCACGCACGGCTTCATTAACCTGGGCAAGGTGAGGGCAGCGCCGGCGGTCACCCAAACCCGGTCGGTGCTGTGTATATATATATATATATGTGTATATAAGCTTTGGAAAATCCCGCACCGCGAAGTGCGCGGCGTAATTAATTGACGTTGTGGCTTCGAGTGTTGTTCACCGGAACGAGTTTTGTTGTTGTTGTTCTATCATTCAGCGGAATTCGAGCGGTGTTTCGTGTCGCTTTGAATCCCCACTTTGCGAAGTGAACGGTGTGTGTATTTATTTATTTGTTTATTTATGGGGTGTGTTTAAATACTGTGAGTTTGACTGGTCGTGAGTGGGATTGGGTCCGTGTGTGTGTGGGGGGGGGGGCTGTGTGTGGGGGGGGCTGTGTGTGGGGTGTGTGTGGGATGGGGGGGTGTGTGTGGGGTGGGGGAGGTGTGTGTGGGGTGGGGTGTGTGTGTGGGGTGGGGGGGTGGGGTGGTGGGTGTGTGTGGGGGGTGTGTGTGTTGGGGGTTAAATACAGTTCAGAGGCTGTCCTTTTAAATTTTAAAAGACACTTAAAAGGGAACCGCACATCTACGTAGATTTTTTTTATATATATATTTAGAATATATGTATATTCTCAATCCGTTTACGAAATTAGTCAATATTTTTAGTTTATTTTGTTGCTTGTTTCAAATCAATAAAACTATCCCTTGTTATTGTCTGTTTTGTCGCTTTTTTAAAAAAAAGACATTTTATATTTTTGTTGAGATGCTTGAAAGAACTAGAAAATTGTCTCCCAACGTTTTCTGAAAATCTTATCAGAGCGAATCACCTGTTTGATTTTTTAATTCTAAGTAAAATATACTTTAGATAGTGACCAATTATGTTTACGACTAAGTTTACGACTTTTTTTTCCCAATAAAGTGCATGAGTGTTTTTCTAAAAAGATTGTTGTTACGTATTGTGGATCTTGAACAAAATGACTTTCTTTACTGAACGTGTGAGAAACAAAATGGATTTGATTATAAGTCAGTTAGTTTTGTAATATGTACAGAATATCATGCCAGCTCCTCTTACAAATTGATATTTGCTTGGACTTTACCCAATGCTTGAGTGCACATGTTTGATTGCTAATTCCAAAAGTCTACGTCAATTTCCTGAAATTTCAGGAGTGCTTCTTGATGGAAGCAATTACAGTTTGCCAGGAAAGAGATGTGGTTGACTGGTGTAATGTGTGCACCCTCCTATTGTGTAAAGTAAAAGAGCAGTGTCTGATTGCTTTAAACATTTTTTGTTTGGAGTGAGTAATTGGATGTTTAGGATGGCTACCAGACATAAGAACCTTAATGAATTTAAGGATAAAGAACACGTAAAGCTCAAATTATGTCTCTGCAAATGACGTTTATTGCTGTGGGCTTGGGCTAATGTTACCTCTTGGTAAAATTTCTTGGGTTACTCAGGGTAATTTGGCAATACTATATGCACAACAGCAAACTACTACTGACATTTCTGGAGTGGTTCTTGATGGAAGCAATTACAGTTTGCCAATTACTACTGGTTTAACAACAAAATGTAAGGTTACATATCAATAAAATGATAAGAATCCAGGGAGCAATAGTGACTGAATTTTAAAGGGCTGTTTTGGGTCTCTTGTACATACTATTTATGAGTCACTTAGAAGAGAGCAAATGATGGTAAGCTATCTCTTGTGATTTATAGAATTATACATTGCTAATATTACCCAACTAAGTGGTCGGATGAGTAATATAAATAATATTCATAATTATCTGGATGAACTTAACAGGTCTGCCAGCAGATGTATTTGTTATGTAGCTAAATGACTATAGTAATAAGGAATAGTAAATCTAGGTGAAATTTGTTCCTTTGCATTGATTCTTTTTACATACAGTTTTAGAGAGATGGGTGTGTTCTGGGAGCACAGTAACATTTCACACAAGTATTCAAACAGCTGTGGTGGTGTTTGCAAATACACTGGTACTTCAGAAGTACTAACATTGTAACTGATCTTTCAAAGACATTCATCATTGCATCTTGCTCTCAAATGTCATGGTAAGCTGCTACTCTGGCTATCTAGCAATTATGTGTGAAATACTGAAATAATGTTGGCATTTTGCTTGGTACTTGTTGAGAATTCTTCCACCACTGTATATTTTGGGAGTCTTACTTGCCTGTTCATGATATAAATGCTATTTGTACAGGTGTGGTCAAGCAGATAACTCTGGAATTACTAAGTTAATAGGGAAGAAAGCAATGGGTATTACAGTTGCATCATTTTTTTCCAGTTGCATTTTTATACAGTTTGTGTTTGATAGGAAAATGGAGAGCCATTGTGATGTCGCAGCTGTGGAAATATTTAATTTTTAAGCCCATTTAAGTGTTGTCTTTTGTGTGCTACCTTCTCCAGTATAAGATCTCATTCTGCTCATAAGCAGTTTGAAGTAGGGTTTCCATGGCAGACTTAAACAACTAACTGACCTTTATACTAGAGAGCTGTCATATATCTAAACATAGGGTAGATGAAAGGTGAGCTGAATTCTTTTGTGAAGAGGGGAGTGTTCATGTAGACATTATGTTTGCCTAACAGTGGTCTAATTAGCTTTATCTTTTAGATGGTTCTAATTTGGATTGCAACTGATTGTAGGTTATTTGATCCAAAGCACTTTTTTCCCCTTTAATTGGGGAAGAGGCTGAGGCTTCCTGCAGTGCCCCTCAATTTTTATTTTGTGTTTTTAATGTGTGATCCTCAAAGCCTCAGGAGAATTATCACAATTTGGCAATGGATAAAGGCTATCTTCAACATGCAGAACAAGTAAAAATAACTTAATGCCTGGAGTTCCTTCTGGAATTTAGCCAAAATATAGCGTAGGGATCTAGATAAAACACACTTAAGCACAATGTTCCCCTCCTATAAGGTATCATATAAACAGGACACACTGGGGAACCATGTAGGTTTTCAATTCTATCTTGTGTGGGATTGAGAGAATCGCATGAAAACAGCAATGTTGTCAATTTCTGATCTGCTTCTTGTGTGGTACATGTTCAATGTTTGGGAAAAAATGTTTCCCAAAGGAAAATCATTAAGATGCGAAAATTAGTCAAGACCAGGACAGCAGATTATTTATCATGATTATCATGAGCATCGAAATGCTACTTTGCAGCTTTAGAATGGTCTGTGAAGCCGAGAGTAATGCTTCTAAAATTTGTCCAATGTAGGGCAGTTGAAATGGATACCATTGAGAGGATTCATTGACGCCGTGTGGTGGTTAGAGTGTAATTATTAATTTGACTTACCTATCCATTTACTGCGAGCTTCTTAAATTCCAGCAGTTCTGCGTGTTGACAATGCTGTGACTGTTCAGTGCTCTGTGCTGTAGCTTTGACAGCTTTTTTTCCCCCTAAGTTTGAAGGGATTTTGAGAGCCTAGGATATTTATGTACTAATCAGTCCTGGAAAAATCCACACGATTACATACTAAACAGGAAGTCTTCCATTTTTGAAACCCAATGGACTGATGCTGACGTGATGTGAGCTGATGCATTGCATTTAATAAGATATAGATTGTTGTCAGATGGGTGTAACTTTCATCGGGTTTAGATTTGCATTGGAATTGGAAAACAGCTGTTGTGACATGTATACTGTCTGTTTAATCCAGCTCTACTCTTGCCCATGAAGGGAATTGCGAGTGGCCTGAGTTAGAGCATATACCTCCAATAGTGAAGTCTGGGAGTACTGAGAATGTTGATCTGGTACTGGTTCACACTTGGAAGTGTATAGTATATTTTTCTCCATCATTTTAGCTTTAAAAAATTCTCATAATTGCAAATTAAGCATACTAACAACCTTAAAATGCTCTCCAAATAATATGTAGAATTATTATAGGAATTTAGCCTTTAGTTTTCAATGTTAATGTGGTGAAGGCTATGAACCAATTTCTATTTTTGTGTCTTCTTCAGTCTGTTGCGAATGATGTGCAATGAGCATGAAAGATCAAAACCTCAAATTGTTGTGCAATGCTGAATTTTGGAGTTTTTTTTAGTTTGATTTCATATTCTGCACAAAGCTTCTGTGCTGTGCGTCTCTTTAGCAATTCAGCGACTATTGATGAAATGGACGAATATGTGGCATGAAACAGTTACATTTTCTGATCATTCATAACATTGCTAGACAGGATAAGAATTCCATTTGTTTACATATTTTAACTGGCAAGATTCCCCTTTCCTCTTTTTGTTACTGGTGGAAGGGAAATTGCATCAAGTAAAACCACCCATTGTGCTGTTTTTATTTTTAAAAAAAGTTCTATTAAAATCTTTAGAATTTTTCTGCCTATATAATTTGACTTAGTATAGTGATTTTAATATCTATGATAATGCACACAGACGTGATAAGATAGTTGATGCTTTGACTATATTTGCCAGGTTTTGAGGACGCACAGTTTTTTTACAAGTTGGATTATTCTAACATCTTATGCAGTCCAGTAATCTAAGGCTTCAGAGTTAAAGCATCTCCCTTTATTTATTCTAGCATCTTTGTGAGATTATTATCCTTATCTGGTTCCTTTTTGATTTTCACTGATTGCATGTGGTAATCTGGGCTAAGGGAAACTTAAATGTCTGAAAGGGTGGGAGAAGCAAAACAGAATACAGGATGTGTTACAGACAGTTAAGGTTGCTGCAGGTTTTCTATTTGACTGGGATTTGGTGCTCAGCCACAAAAGGGCAATCCCGTACAACAATAATTAAATAGATTTTAGAACTTTACAGAAGCAAAGAACGCCATTTGGCCCATTGGTGCCTATGCTGGCTATTTGAAAGAGCAAACTATTCAGTCTCATCTACCTGCCTTTCAGATAACTATCTAATTTCCTCTAGAGGTTTATATGAGTCGTGCCTTAACCATCGTTGCTGGCAAGGCATTTCTCCCCTTCAACTCCTTTATTGAGTCTCCCTTCAACCTTCTCTGTTCCAGTGAAAATAGGCCTACATTCTCAAACCCTGCTCATAGCTAAATCCACTCATCCTTCTTATCCT